TGGGTGGGTGGATAGGTGGATGTGTAGATGGGTGAGTGGGTGGGTGAGTGAATGGATAGATAGGCAGGTGGGGGGTGGGTGGGTGGGTGGATAGGTGGATGTGTAGATGGGTGAGTGGGTGGGTGAGTGAATGGATAGATAGGCAGGTGGGGGTGGGTGGGTGCAGATTCTGGATAAACCAAGAACTTGCAGAGAAGAGGCAGGGAGGGCCCTAGGCAGTCCTAGACACCTTTGGAGGGGCTGGCCAAGCCCAGCAGGTGAGGGCAGGGTGGGCCTAGAGGACCCTGCTGAGAGCCGGGACTGACCCAGGGAACTGGGCAAAGGGGTGGGTCATCCCGAGGATTTGGGGGAGGCCAGGGGACGTCAGGGGTGGGGGACGGAGTGAGGAAGCTGCTAGGGGAGCCCCGGGGATGGGGCAGGGGCAGCTAGAGAGGGCACGGGGTGCAGCAAATGCCAGTGTGAGTTGACCCAGGGCCGCAGGTCCAGGAGAAGCAGGCCTGGGGAAAAATGACCCCCGTTCCACTCAGGCCTAGGGAGCTCAGGGGCCGAGGACGATGGTCTGGCCAGGACTACAGTGGGCCTCGGGAGATTCCGGGGTGGGGCTAGTGGGGAAGATCTGCAAGGGGCTTCAGGGCAGCTCAGGGCTGGGCCTCCACCCCACCACCCAGGAGGGTCTCAGAGGCAACTATGGGAGCTGGGTTAACACCACCTCGGCCCACGGAGCAGGGTCCCACGCCAGCTTCTCCTCTGCCTGGTTGGGGCTGCCTCAAGAGGGGCCTGCTGCCTTCTAGATCCAACCCCCAGTCCTCCTCACCCTCAAGGCTGACCCTGACCCCTCGAGGCAGCCCCCTCTGACCACTGCTCACCCCAAGGGGGTCTGAGAGGAGTTCCTGGGCAGTGTGCCTGCCACTGCGAACCCTCGCAGCTGGGTGCCAGCTCAGCACCCAGTCAGTAAGAAAAGCAGACGAGTGGAGTCCCCAGGGCCAGGGTGGGAGGCCACACCAACCAGACACTGAGAACCGGGAGGCTCCTTCTCACTGTGGAAGCCCCTCTCCAGGCTGCCCAGCCCCTCTCCCACCACGGGGGCTAGAGGCCATCCAGCCTTCAAGTATCTGGTGCCAGCTACAACCTCCTCCTGAGCTTGGGGACTGCCCCCTTCTGTCTGGGGGGTGGGGTCCAGGAGAGGAATAGGCAGGGAAGCCTTCCAGGTGATGAGCCCCGTCCCCAACCCTGGGGTTCGCATGATGACCCTTGACTCTTCCCTTGGAAAAGGCCACAGCCCTCTCCCACTTCACAGTACCTCTGCTTTGAGCAGTGGGTGCCTGACACTGTCCCAGCCCCCAGCTTCAGGGGGAGTCCCACCCTGTCCTTATGTGATTGGGGGGGACCAAGAGGTCCACACCTCTGAGGCCTTCCCTCCCCTCCAAACCCCCTGCCCTGTTCCTCCCCAATCATCCCCGCCCTCCCCTTCCCTTCCCTCCCCTCCCCAGTAAAAGAGGGAAGAACTCAGAAAATAATTTTAAATGCTTTATTGGGATTGCGAGCGATAACAAGTTAGAGACAAAACCCAAGCACTGGATTTTGCCAGAAATATTAGCATGTTAAAGGGGTCAAGTTGAGGCAAACACAGGGCCGCTGCATGATGGACCAACACAGGCGGCAAGGTGACACAGGTGTTCGTCGCGTGGGGGGTCTTCAGGTGATGGCAAAGGGAGGGACCCAAGAGGGGGTCCTGCTGAAGACAGTTTGGGGGGGGGATGTGGGGGAAGAGACAAGATGGAGGACCACACTAGGGCACGGGAGGCCAGATGGGTGCCCGGGTCAGGATGGCCAGCGACCCAGGGAGAGCCATACGTTTGGAGACACAGAGGGCAGAGTGCAAGTACCCCAGGAGCACCCAGCCCAGCGAGGCAAAACGTAACACTGTTTGTGGGTGGGTGTCCCACCGAATGGGCAGGGAATTTAGGGTGCCTCGCAGTGTTTTGGATCTCAGGCCAATCCGACTCTTCAATCAAAACAACTTTGCGCTTTGGTTTCTCTCCAATGTTCCGAATGGCCCATTCTCCAGGCACTTGCTGAGGGACCCTCTGTGCTGAGGTCGGGCTGGCACGGACCGCCCCCAGGGTCATGCCAGTCCTGTCGCTAGGGCCCAGAAGCCTCAGGCCCCTAGATTGCTAGTCGGACTGCTGTGCAGGGGGACTGCACTGGAGGCAGGAGTGGGGGTGAGGTAGGCCTCCAGCCGCCCGAGGTCCCTGCCAGAGTCCTAGGCGCTGTGGGTGGCTGCCACAGCCCTGCCAGACCCGCGGGCCTCAGGGCCCGAGCGACCCCACTGATGGTCAGCTCTCCTGCTCTGCGGGCTCAGAGCCTCCTGACCTCCCCTGCTCCCTGGCCTCACCCCACCCTGACCAAAGGAGATTCCACAGAGCTCTGGACCTCCTGTGGACAAGGTGGGGTGCTGAGGAGCGGGCATGGTGTCACAGAGGGAGGGGAGTGTTCCCCAAGTGTGCGGAGGGC